CCCCAGGACAACCCCGCTGTCATTCGACACCCGGAGTGTGACCAGAATCGCCAGGGCCAAAACCGCGCGTGGCGCCGGGAACCGCGTGTAACCGCCCCCCCCGCAAGGGGGCAGCAGCGGGATGTGGGCGTGTTGCGCGTGGTCTCAGGCAGAGGGGCGGCTGACATGGTGGGCGTCTCTAAAACGGCGAGGCCAGGGCGCATCTCCTGATACGGTCTCGAGCCACGCAGAGGCAGCTAATGGGAAAGGGAGACTCTGTAGGATCGATCCCCCAGTGGCATCTTCAGAGGACTCACAGTGGCCGGGGGTTCTCGGTGGGCCCTATCACCAGCGGAAGCGTCGGATACTTCTTCCGGCTCACGGAAGGTCAGCTTCCGTTCGCAAGCTTGGGCGGGCGGTCCTTTCCCCGCGGACTCTTGCGCCCTCGGGCGGCGTCTCTCGAGAACAACGTGAGCTTGTTCACGCGAAATGCAAATAAAGATTTCTTCTTCAAAAAACAGGAAGTGCCTACGGAGGCCGGGTGGGCCGCGGCGTCTGGGCATGAAGCCGGCCAGCGACGGGGGCGCTGGCGGCGGCGGCAGCGGCTGTGGCGATGAGCGATATAGTGGAGAAGACGCTGACGGCGCTGCCGGGACTCTTTCTGCAGAACCAGTCCGGCGGGCCCGCGGCCGCGAAGGCGTCGTTCTCCTCGCGGCTGGGCAGCCTGATCCGCGGCATCACCGCGCTCACCTCCAAGCACGTAGGTGCCCGCCGGGCCGGGAGGTCGGGGGCGTCCGGGTGAGGCCCCCGCGCCGAAGGCCCTGGCCCGGCGGCGACACCCCGGGGCCTGCGGGGCTGGCCCGCCGCGGGGCTCAGGGGCTGCCAGCGTGTGGGTTGGTCCTCCCGTCGGCCCGGAAGCTTCACTTTCCTGCCCGCACTGACGGCAGGGAGGCCGGGTTCGCACAGTTGGCGGTGACACCGACTCGACTCATTTGCTCTCTTGAACCTCGGACCCTCCGTGTGTTTTCTCGACTCAAGTGCCAAGAGTACCGATACATCATGTTTCATAGGGTGTTTGGAGGATTCGATGAGGTGTCAAGGGTGTGAAAATACCCAGTGCCATAGAAGTGTCAGGCGTGTTTGAGCTTCTCCAAAGTTTCTTTCCCTACTCCGTTTTCTTCTCCCTCCAGTCGCTTCAGCAGCTCGACATCACCCACCCGAACGGATCCTGCCCTCCGGGTCTGCTGTGGAATATCTTTGGGGAACTTGACGTTCTTAGGTTAGAGCAAAGGAAAAGCGTAGCTCACCCAGAATGTAAAATTTGCTGAGTAAGTCTCTGATGAGCTTTGAAAACGAGTGATTGTGATAGAAGGTAGGCGTCCACAGACTTGATAGTTGCACGGATTGTGCAGGATACAGGTTCAAAGCTTCAAGGAGTTTATATCTTAAAAAGAGTTGGCTGGGTGAGGTGGCACGTGTCTGCAATTCCAGCACTTTGGGAGGCCTAGGCGGGAGGATCACTTGACGTCTGGAGTGGGAGACCAGCCTGGACAACACAGTGGGACCCCTCACCCCCATGTCTACGAAAATAAAAAATGAAAAGCACGTGTTAATGTCATAATTTGTTCAACAGATATTTATAAATCAAGGTTATGCGTGAGACACCGAGAAGAATAGAGTAAAAAACATTCCCTTCTAAGGAACTGGTCATCTGTTTTGGGCTTAAGACAAGTATAAGCATGACTGCAGTGCAATATAAATGCCAAAAGTGAAGAAAAAACAGAAGAAAAAGTGCTTTGGGGGTTAAAAAAATTATTTCAAGACTGAATTTAGATGATACTCTACTGGAGAGGATCTTCTTCACATTCCAAAATCCTTATTTATTGACTTAATGTTATTTCTCTTTAAGTTTTTAATTTTTGCTAATTTTTATGAGATACCAGATAAAATTTAAATAAAATTTTTTTGGTCTTTTTTTTTTTTTCTTTTATATTTTATTTATTTATTTTTGAGGCAGGGCCTCATTGTGTTGCCCAGGCTGTCTCAAACTCCTGGCCTCAAGTGAGCCTCCTACCTCAGCCTCCAAAGTACTGGGATTACAGATGTAAACTACCATGCTTGGCCCTATTTTTGGTCTTAACTTGCAGTTTGAAATTGTACATAGGCATCCAAATGTGGCTCTACTTCACCAGTGACTCTTGATTATCTACCTAATAAATGCCTACTAAGTCCATGTGTAATTTAAAGATAGCATTATATTATTTAAAAGTGGAATCAGTTTTCAAGTCCTTAGGTAAAATACAATGCAGATAGTAGAAGAGACCACATAGGTGTGTATGTGAGATAGAAGGTGAGGAAAAGGAGCTGAAGAATGAGGAAAGGCTAGGGAAGAAGTTTAAGGAAAAAGATCTATTTCTGTTTTTTGCCTTCTTACTAAACTGCTTTATTCCATGGAGACTTTTTACTTCTATGTGGAAGATGTGAGACTCTTATCCTGGGCCAGTATGTGGAGAAAGTATTTCTACTCTCTTTCCATCTTTAATTTTTTTAAACCATTTTCTGCCATTCTGCCATTAAGGGTACAGTAACTGAGTAAAGAGAAGAAGAATGATAGTTTGGCCTGGAAATATGTATTCTCTCCAGGGTTGATTCTGAAGGTTAGAGAAATGCCTCTTGGCAGATCTTAAGCACGTGTGTTTATAACTCTCCTTTGAAATAATGTTTCTTTTTTATTGGAAGTGTTATAAATTAAATTTTTTCTTTTAAAAATGTAGTTTTAAAAGACAAGTATTCAAGCATTTAAATATTTTCACTTTTTCAGGAAGAAGAAAAATTAATCCAGCAGGAATTGAGTAGTCTGAAGGCAACTGTTTCTGCTCCTGCTACAACACTGGTAGGTTTGCATAGTCAGTGCCAACACATTTGAATTTGAAATCTGGTTCACTATGCACTCGATAGCGTCATGCCGATCAGTTGCTAAGCTTAAATTTGTTATTGTCAAAATGAGTTACGAATGGTAGCAAGCGGCCATTAACTTTAGCTTTTTATTATTGATTGATTGTACCAGAACAAGACTTGTTTGTGTCAAGTCAGGGCCGACATGATGATGATGTAACAAATGTGGTGATACTCCTGGGATGCCAGTGCTGATCCAATTTTTTTTTAAATGTTGTTTTTTTTAAATGTGTTGGAAAAGGCTAGGATGTATCATTTAGCATAATATTTTCAGACCTGAGTTGATATATTGTAGATCTCTAATTTTACTATTATACATTTTGGAGTATAAGTTGACTGAAAAGGTAGAATAATTATTTTCTTGCTGTGAAACCGAGTATATCACATAACTGGAGCTAAATTAGGCCCAATTGTTTTCAAACTTTATTCCATATAACTTGGTTTTTCAAACAAATAATTTAGCAACTATTTAATGAGTGGTTCCTATTGGCAGGCCCCTGAGGGACTGTCCCAACATAGTTAGATTAAGACCCAGTTTTGTTTTGTTTTGTTTTTTGAGCAGGAGTTTCACACTCTCCCCCAGTCTGGGAGTGCGGTGGCATACTCACGGCCACTGCAGCCTCAACCTACTGGACTTAGCCACCGCGCCGAGCCAGGTTTTTTTGTTCTTTTTTTAAATGAAATTTTTTCCCCCCATCAACATTTGTTCAGCAAGTATTTAATGAGAGCCTTCCTTATTTAATCCATGAGGAAATGTTTTCCTTCCCACCAGTAAAAATATCAGGGTAATCATTTTCCTTTTTTCTTTTTTAGAAAGTAGGATTTATTAAGAGGACAGAAAAGCTCCCACAGTGGGAGGGGACTCAAAGGATTGCCATAATCATTTTTCATGAGTACATGATCATGGACGTGAACAATACTTGTAAAATCTGAGAATGTTTATACTTCCTGTTGTGATCATAATTATGTAGGCAGGTGAACCTCAAAGCATAGTTTATGTATCTATGCGTATATATGTATAACTTTGTGTCTGGATGTATGTGTGTCTGTGTATGAAATCATTGTGTTTCATAGTCCTTGATAGAACTCTTAAGCAGAAATGGTTTCTCTTTGTTAGATTTTCATTATTTTGTTTTTTTGTTGTTTTTTTTTTTGAGTTGGAGTCTTACTCTGTCGCCCAGACTGGAGTGCAGTGGCACGCTCCCGGCCATCGCAATCTCGACCTGCTGGGCGCTAGCAATCCTTCCGCCTCAGCCTTTCAAGTAGCTGGAACTACAGGCACTCGCTACCATGCCCAGCTAATTTTTTGATTTATTGTAGAGTTGAGGTCTTGCCAAGTTGCCCAGGCGGGTCTCGAACCTGTGGACTCAGGCAGTCCGCTCACCTCAGCCTCCCAAAGCGCAGGATTACAGGCTAAGCCACCGAGCCCAGCTTAGATTTTCTTTTTTAATAATTTATATCACTGTATAGTTTTTCTTGCTACAGGGCATAATCTTAGTGTTGGGTGGAACTACAATAATTAGGTAGAAGTTAGGAAACCAGAATTTGGAAGGAAGATATAATAATTATGACCATCCACCTCTAGCATTCCTTATAGAGTAGTCTGTCCATGAGGTGTTCATGTAGAAGTTAGATGACAGTTTGTTGGAGAAGTAAGGAAGTTCCTGCATTGGGGAATGTGCTTTCGTTTCCAAAAATAGGAGAATGATAGTGTGTGCAGTATAGTTTTAGTTAAATAAAGTTCATAATGACTTTTGAAAAACTCTGAGATAAAATGTGACAAATCCAGTATTGAAACTTAATGGCTTAAATGAACAACTTTGCTATTAATTAATGTAGAAATCTTTGAAGAGAGGCTTCCGGTGTCTTTTAAGTTTGTTTTCTCAGTATCTGGGAATCTTAAATTTTTTTTTTTTTTTTTTTTTTTGAGTTGGAGTCTCACTCTGTCACCCAGACTGGAGTACAATGGCTGTTCCCGGCCACTGCAGCCTCGACCTGCTGGTCTCCGGCAATCCTTCTGCCTCAGCCTCCCAAGTAGCTGGAACTACAGGCGTGTGCTACTATGCCAGGCTAATTTTTGATTTATTGTAGAGATGAGGTCTCGCCAAGTTGCCCAGGCGGGTCTCGAACCCAGAGTTCAGGCAATTCACTCACCTCAGCCTCCCAAAGGCACGGGATTACAGACTGAGCCACCGAGCCCGGCTGGGAGTCTTAAATTAATGTGTTAATGAATTAACTTTTATTGCTTTAAGCAAAAGTGACCCAAATTAAATTTCATTCCCCTAAGATTTTTCTGTTTCTCCTTAGGCTCTTCATATTTTTATTTTTTATTTTTTTGAGTTGGAGTCTCACTCTGTTGCCTAGACTGGAGTGCAGTGGCTGCTCCCAGCCACCGCAGCCTCAACCTGCTGGGCTCCGGCGATCCTTCCGCCTCAGCCTTCCGAGTAGCCGGAATTACAGGCATGCGCTACCACCCCCAGCTGATTTTTGATTTATTGTACAGATGAGGGCTCACCAAGTTGCCCAGACGAGTCTTGAACCTGCGGGCTCAGGCAATCCACTCATCTCAGCCTCCCAAGGTGCGGGATTACAGGCTGAGCCACCGAGCCCAGCTAAGCTCTTCATATTTACACAGGCACACACATACACAATATTAAACATTGTTATCCTTGTTTTAAATTTTTTCTTTATTTTATTTTAAAACAGGATTTATTGAGAGGACAGAAAAGCTCCCACAGTGGGAGGGGACCCAAAGGCATTGCCCTAAAGTATTTCATTTAACTGTTTTCTAAGCATTTTGTAATTCAGTAATCTTGTAATATGCTATCCAAAATTAATTTTTAGATATTAAATAGTCTGTGAGCTTTTCTTTATTTTTGTTTCTGCTTTTCTTTGTTTTGAAACATGTTAATGTTTTTGTTGCTCATTAAAATGTGCTGTAAATATCTTGTAAAATCTGAACACAAATATTATCATGCTAATCATATTTGTAGAATCTCTTAAAAATGCTTAGCTTGCATTACAAATATTCAAAGGTCCCATTAAAAATGGAATATGGTGGCTCATGCCTGTAATCCCAGCACTTTGGGAGGCTGAGATGAGAGGATTGCTTGAGCCCACGGGTTCGAGACCAGCCTGGGCAACTTGGCAAGACCTCATCTCTATAAAAAAAAAAGAAAAAATTAGCCGGGTGTGGTGGCACGTGCTTGTAGTTCCAGCTACTTGGAAGGCTAAGGTGGAAAGATCATCTGAGTCCAGCAGGTTCAGGCTGCGGTAGCCGTGAGCATGCCACTGCACTCCAGTCTGGGCAACAGAGTAAGAAGCTCTAACTGAAAAAAAAAAAGGAATACTATTAGAATGGTTATCCCGTTGATGAAATCATGTCCCGCAGTTCATCGTAATTGTGTTATTTAAAAAAGAGTGCCTATAAAGTAAATTATTACTTATATGTAGCATAATAATGCTGAAGAAAGTCCAGGTACAATTTGTTTGTTTTTTTTCTTTTTCTTTCTTTTTTTTTTTTCCTCTTTCTCCCTAGCCGGAGTGCAGTGCCATGGTCATGGCTTACCACAGCTTCAACCTCCTAGACTCAGGCAATCCTTCTGTCTCAGTCTCCCAAGTAGTTGGAACTACAGGCCTGCAACACCATGTCAGGCTAATTTTTAAAACTTTTTTGTAGCTACAAGGTCTCACTATGTTGCCCAGGCTTGTCTTGGATTCGTGGACTCAAACAGTCTTCTTGCCTCAGCCTCCCAAAGTGCTTAGATTACAGGTGTGAGCCTGTGCCTGGCTGCCATTTGATTTTTAAATGTGAAAAATGTTTTTGTTATAGAAATTATTACCAACTTGTAGGAATTTTCTAGATATTTTCATTTGACATTGCTACAATTTAGAAGCCAAGGAAGATTATCATGGATGACATTTTGACTGAGGACTGTATGTATCATATAACCAAATTTTACGCTGGACACATAGAAATAGCTATAGTTGATATATTTTGTAGTCGTGCCACTAACAAAATAGTGAAATAATTTTACTAAGATTAATGCTATTGGTAATTAACATTGGGAGCAACTTTTATTTATAAAGTCTGATATTGGGTGATTAATTATGCAACATATATATTACTTTTTTAGTACCAGGATTAAAGAATTCCCCTGTTAAATGATTAGAACATAATAAAAAAATCAGAACATTCTATTTATTTATACAGTGACTGGATATTTTGCGTTTCAGAAAATGATGAAGGAATGTATGGTGAGACTTATATATTGTGAAATGCTTGGATATGATGCTTCCTTTGGCTATATACACGCAATCAAGTTGGCTCAACAAGGAAACCTCTTAGAAAAAAGAGTAGGTATGTATGTATTTAAGACTTTCATACCTTCGTGTTGTCCTCAAAGTTCCAACTATTGTGTAGAATAAATGATGGCAGATATATAATACAATTTTAGAAACTTTTAAAAGATAACACTTCAGAAATTTAAAGTCTGTTAGTGATATCAGTTTTCCTGTTTCATAGCATTTTGGAGTTATAGAGATGAAAAATTGCTTGAGGTCTTGTGATAGTGTTTGGATGACTATATATTTGTCAAAACTCATTAACCTTAACACTTAAAATTTTCTTGTATACAAATTGTACCTCAGTAAAACTTATTTTAAGAAGTCTTTCTAACCTCATTAATTTAATGGTCAGAAATGTTTATTTATAGAATACAAACTGAAATTGACTAGAATAATTTTAAGTATCCTGTTCTTAGTTTCAGAAATGTTAGCTACGAGGATTAGAGGTACCTTTCGAAAATTTTGTCTCTGTGGTCATTAACCTATAGGGCTGTTAGGAAACTTCTTTCAGGGACTTAAATCTTCTGTTCATAAATGTTTAGCTTTATATCAAAATCCCGTTTATTTATTTATTTATTTATTTAAGAGATGAGGTCTCGTCAAGTTGCCCAGGCTGGTCTCAAATCGCTGAGCTCAGGCAGTCCTCTTGCCTCAGCCTCCTAAAGTGCTGGGATTACAGGCTTGAGCCACTGCGCCTGGCATATATCAGAATCTCAAGAAGGAAGCACTTTAGAATAGTATGCAATAGCATATGGTCTTTATTCAAAAGGGTTGATAATGCCATGTTGTCAAGGACTAGCATTCTTCACAAAATATGTTGACCTTTGCTATCAGATAATGGGGCGGAGGTGGGAGCTGTCTTTAAACGTTCTGGGATTGTATGCATGCGATGTTCCAGTTGTTGACCCCACTTCATCCAAAATACTCATCTGTCTTTTAGGTTTGTTATATTCTTTCCTTCATGTATATGTCCTTTGGCATCCTGTTTCTCTCTTCCTGTATTCCAAAATCAAGTTTTAAATCTTGTGTGACCACTCAGATGGCTCCTTCCATCTGTTAACTTTATAGTGTTGTCTTCTTATACATACACATTTACACACACACACACACACACACACACACACACACTCTTTTTTCTGTTTTTATTTTAATTATTTGTAAATAGGGTCTCGTTTTGTTGCCTAGGCTGGTCTTAAACTCCTGGCCTCAAGCAGTTCTCTTGCCTTGCACTCCCAAAGTGCTGGGATTACAGGCATGTGCCACTGTGCCTGGTTTCTTTTCATATACTAATGTCTTAGCTCCTGAACTAATTAAAGGAAGGACCTTTTTTTTTCTTTGAGTTTTTAAAGTAGTCTTTATTAGTAATTTGCTTTTCCTAAAACTTGGATTTTTCTTAAGTATTATATAAAAATGGAATTTTATTTTACTAATGTTTTATTTCACATACACTTGCAATGGCCATTCAGTCATATTCACTGTTTTCGTAAAGTCTTTCTAATGATGTTGCTATTTTCGCTTCTGAAAGGTTGTATTTGTAGTGTTTTTCTTTTCTTTTTTTTCCTAAGAAGAAAGAGATCAAAATATCTTTCAACCATTGTTGAGCGTTTTAGGAAAAGCGATAACCTACTTCATCCTTTTCGTTTGTAAGGAAAGCATGTTAAATATAAATACATTTGGAAGTGTTTAAAATACATACATGAAGGGAGACAGTGATGGCAGAGTCCTGTCTGGTATTTTTGTGCCTCCCTTTTATCTATCTTTTCTTCTCATTTTCTTTACTTTTTCCACTTTCTCACTATTTCTTTACTTTCTAATGTTTCCCTTCAATTTTGAGCGATTTTCTTTTATTCCCTTTACATATTAATTTACAGTGGTTGAAAAAACATTGGTGTACCCCTCTTGGAAATATCTATTTTTTTAAGGACTCTGAAAGATACATCCTAAGAAATTTACCTTCAATAGTTAGATTTTGACTTGAATTGGAAAGATATTTATAAATAATATGAAAGATATTTTCTTAGGGATTTTTTATTTATGAAATGTGTTGTTTTCATGGACTGGTATGATGAGGGGGTATCCACTGTCAGCCAGGTGCTGCAATCAAGCATAAAGATGGGTAACTTACACTGTTTCTGTTTTGAGGATGTCTGCAATGGCAGGGGAGAAAACAAAGACAGACAAAAACTAGTAGTTAGAATATAATGTGGAAATTGCCTTCATGAAGGCGTGAACCATGTGCTGTGCTCATATAGTCAGGTGTAAGAATGATCATGGAAACCTTTTGTATCCCTGGTCTTAGACTTAGAGAAGGTGAATATGCTGATTAGATTTCTTATGAAAGTTCTGAAATGAAATTACTGTGGAGCCTGTTTAAATGTTGCATGTTTAGACTTTAGTTAGACTTAGCTTTGGTCCTGGCATTTTTGATTTGGGTTCCTTTGGCATGCAGTGAACCTTTGTCTTGCTGTTGTTACTTAGCTGTCTTCCATGTTACCATAGATAGAAAATTTTGAAAGCAATACAGTCAATAAATATTGTATAGTTGATGATATAATTATTTTGTACAACTACTGCTACATTCTGCTTCTTAGACATATGTGTAATTTTTTTCATTTTCAGTGTAGTTTATTTTTAACAATATATAATGCCTCACGACTCACTTTTATTTCTAGCCTCACTACCCAGTTTGCCCCTTACCCTCATAATTTCATTAGTTTCTGATTAATGTTTCCATTGGTTTTTTTTTTGGAAAAAACAAGCAAAAGTATGTGCGCACACTTTTTTTTCATATTATATACATTATCTCCTACTCAAACGACAGCACACTAGATTATTCTACATCTTTTTTTGACATCTTCATACAGTTGCCTCATTTTCACTGGGTGAATGTGCCATAGTTTTTCAACTAGATCCTTACTGGTGAATGTATGGATTTTTTTTTTAACTCTCTTAAAATAATATTGTAATTAATAACCTTTTATATATACTATTTCATAGTTATGGAAGCTCTCTTAAAGAAGATCTCAGAGTCATTTTTATTGAGACTTATGTTCTTCCTTAGGAAAATATTTTTTCTTTATTTTTTAGAGACAGAGTTTCTTTCTGTTGCCCAGGCAGGAGTGCCAGGCTTGATCATAGCTTACTGTAGGCTCAAGCACCTAGGCTCACAGTATCATCCTGCCTCAGCCTCCTGAGTAGCTGGGACTATAGGTGTGTACTTCCATTCCCAGTTAATTTTAAAAAATTTGTTTTTAGACACAGGGGGTCTCACTTTGTTGCCCAGGCTGGTCTCTAACTCCCTGGGCTCAAGTGATCCTCCCATCTCAGCCTCCTGATTATTATCTGGGATTATAGATGTGAGCTACTGTACATGGGGGGAAATATTTTCTTGATTTAGAGAGCTATGTATCTACAGGCTTCAGATATTCTTAATGCGTGTTATTGAGTGGAAGACATTTTTAGAAATACCTATAATTGAAACCTTCTGTATGTCTTCACTCTGGTACTGTTAATGCTTTCTCTGATGAAGAATGCTACCTTATTTCTTTATGAATATTGTAGAATGCATTCATTTCCATACCTGTTAAGTCAGGCATTATGTTAAGTGCTTTATCTTCTGCGATAGTCAAGTTCCTTGTCTAAAGTCACAGAACAAATAAATGATGTAGCCGGACCCAAATTTCTTTAAGTCAAAGCTTTTGTTTTATCCTATATCACTTTTAGTCATATCAAGTATATTCTATAATCATAGTTGTTAGTCTCTGTTTCCCTGAAAACTTTTAATTTTTTTGAGTCACATAATTTTTTTCCCTGTTTTTCAATGATCAAAACAGGATATTTGTAACGGAAAGAATTAAGGTTTCACTGTGAGATAGTGTTTGGATTAGTTTGTTGGTGTTGATACTGGGAATGAGTGATACCTTAGGTGAACAGTAGGGTTCTCATCAATCTGATAAGACTTAATCTCTACTTTAAATGCTTTCTGGAATTTTCCTCATTGTTTTCTTGACTTGGTCAAACTTTTTTCCTCTCATGACCTTCAGCGAAGCTGTTACAGTTGGTTATGCTGCTACTTCTCCATTATGAGAATAAAAAATTTCTGTTTTTCCATTTTCTACAAGAGACATAGGCAGTGTTAATGCTGGGTAACGATGGGGCTAGTTACCATTAGAATCCCTAACAAAAGGGGTGAAAGGAGAAGACTAAATGGTGCTGGGAAAACTGGTTGATCATATGCAGAAGATTGAAACAGGACCCGTACCTATCACCATACACAAAAATTAACTCTAAATGGATTAAAGACCTAAACGTAAAACCTCAAACTATAAGAATCTTAGAAAACCGGAGACACCCTTATGGAAATTGGAACTGGCAGTCAATTCCTACAGTACCCTAAATGCCCATACCTTAAGAAATAAAATAGACAAGTGGGACCTCATCAAGCTAATGAGCTTCTGCAAAGCAAAAGAAACCATCAAGAGAGCAGGGAGACAGCCCATAGGATAGGAAAAAATATTTGCCAACTATATATCTGACAAAGGCCTAACATCTAGGATCTACAAGGAACTCAAACGCGCCCAAAGGAAAAAAACAAACAGCCCCATTAAAAAGTGGGCAAGGCATGAATAGACACTTCTCAAAAGAAGATATTTGGGTAGTCAACAGGCACATGAAAAAGTGCTCAGCCTCACTCATCATCAGAGAAATGCAAATCAAAACTACATTGAGATACCACCTAATCCCAGTAAGAATTGCCATCATTAATAAAACAAACAACAACAGACGTTGGCAAGGATGAAGAGAAAAAGGAACGCTTCTACACTGTTGTGGGAATGTAAACTAGTGCAACCTCTTTGGAAGACAGTGTGGCAGTTTCTGAAAGAACTAGAAATTGTCCTTCCATATGACCCAACAATTCCCCTATTGGGAATATACCTGGAGGAACTCAAAATCATTCTACAAAAAAGATACCTGCACATGCATGTTTGTTCCAACTCTATTCACAATAACAAAAACATGGAACCAACCATGTTGCCCATCGAAGCTGGAATGGATAAAAAAAAGTGATACATATACACAATGGAATATTATGCAGCCATAAAGAAGGGCAAACGTGAACTTTGCAGCAACTTGGATGAATTTAGAGTCGATCACACTCAGTGATCTATCACAGAAACAAAGAACAGAGTACCATATGTTCTCACTCATAAGCGGACCTTGAGCAGCTATAAACTATAAGAAAGGGATTGGCAGTAGTGGGAAACTGTCAGGGGAGGGCGGGTGGAATTGGCAGTTGAGGGAACATGTTAGGGGAGGAAGGGGCATACCTCATCAACAAGGGTATCTGCATAATCAACGTCTGTACACCTAACCCTGAATTGTACCCCACATCTTTATAATAAAAAAAAAAAGAAAATCAGTGAGGGTGGAGTCAGATAATTGGGCCTCAAGGTAGAATATGTGGAGAGGCAGTAGGATATTGGAGATAGAAATATGACCTGACTCCAACTTTCTGGGTTTTAGTCTTGTATCCACCGTGTAATAGCTGTAGACCTTGGAAAATTACCCTTTTTTAGGTCTTATTTTTATATTCAGATAATGATAGCTCATAGAGTTGTTGTGAGGATTGAATAAGGTAAGGCATATAAAATGTTTGACCCATAGTAACTCTCTAATAAATGTTGATTATAAATATGAGGAGTGACAGAGAAAATGCCTTGTAGCTTCTATATTCCATGTACATGGCATTTGTGATAGTATTATGTATTTCCTCAATCTTAAAATACTTTTAAATGTTTAAATATTATTGAGGTAAAAGTGCTTATTTAAGCCAATGAGTATATTTAATATGTAGATGGTGTTTCTTTCCTCAACAACAAGAAAATAAGGTATTATGGGTTGCTTAATATATTTAATATATGATTTGCATCATATGGGTTGGTAGCACATGCAATACAAATAGCCAGTAACTCACTATCTTAACTGTAATAACTATGAATTTTTGAATTATTATATGTTTGGCTATAAGATATAGAATGTTTTGATTGATAATGTACCTATTTGTACAAAAGATAGAAGGAATATCTTCTTAATGTAATTTACAGACCTTTAAGTTGGTATACATAGCCTCTCTTCCATTTCAGGTATATTCTGTGAAATACATAATTCTGAAAGGTTCCAGGGTGAAGAATGTCTAAGATCTTCCTTACTAAAGTTTTTGTTTGTTTGTTTGTTTGGTTTTTTTTTTTTTTTTGGAGTTGGAGTCTCACTCTGTCACCCAGTCTGGAGTGCAGTGGCACACTTAGGGCCACTGCAGCCTCAACCTGCTGGTCTCAGGTGATCCTTCTGCTTCAGCCTTTCAAGTAGCTGGAATTACAGGCACATGCCACCAAGGTTTTTAACTTCGTATTTTGTAATTTGTTTTATGTTTACCTGTAACTGGTATTTTTAATACTGAAAACTTGGGATATATTACAAGATTGTTTTGTTTAACTTCTTGTGAAACGTTTATTTTTGGTGGTTGTAGTGAGACTTTTCTTCTCAACTTTTATAGGTTATTTGGCTGTTTCTTTATTTCTACATGAAAGTCATGAATTGTTGCTTCTCCTTGTGAATACAGTTGTAAAGGTACTGTATTGTATGTTGGCTAATAGGAAGTTAAATAATTACTGCAGGCATCTGACATTTGTCCTCAATCATATTGAATAAGATAATTTTAGAAAAAGATGGGCTTATAGAATGGGCTTAGATCTTTTAGATCATTTTCTGCATCTGTAAAATGGGGATAAATAATAGAACTTAACAGAGTTGTGAGGGTTAAGTGAAATACTGTGTGAACTAGTAGCTGCTACTGGTTATTATTATTATTTCATTTTAAAGCACGCAGAATTATATTCCAGATCTTCAGGCTCTTAGGTATACTTTCCATGTTGTTGTCTTTTTCTCTAGGATCTATTCTGAAGAGATATAGATATAAACCAAATACTTGAAATCTTTAAAGTCTAAATTATTTTTTAAAAGAATAGAATTGAGGAACTGAAATGTACAGATAATAAAAACAGTTTAATCCACATTCACAATATTTTCTCCTGTTAACTTCTAATCAGAATTGATACTGAGGTATAATTGGATTATTGAGCTTTTTCCTGTTTATCTGTGTCAATTCTTTGACATGTGTGAAAGAGAGAGAAAGAGAGTGAGTGTGTGTAAAGGCTGTAATAGAGGCGACTACTTGGGCCAGTATCAGAATAGAAATACGGTTTCATTTTGTGTCAGTTGCTTTTTGGATATATTTATCTATTGACTCTATTAAGGCAAATGAAACAAATAAGACTATTCCTATAAAATATATAAATTTGGATTTATAAATTAATTATAAAGTTAGTGGAAAATTAATAAGTATATAGGGCTGTTTCAGTGTTGAGTCTGCCTTCCCTCATTTCAAAATTTACACAATGTTTTCTTTGCTTAATAATTATGCTAGGACTTGCAGAGCACTAACCTAGTAGAAGTGTGTATGGCACTTACTGTTGTCAGCCAGATTTTCCCTCAAGAAATGATTCCAGCTGTTCTTCCATTAATAGAAGATAAACTTCAACATTCTAAGTAAGTAAATTCTTTTGGCATGGGTGTTTATATCATATTTTTAGAACTAGCAAATTAATTATAACTTTAATTTTTAAAATGGATTTAATTTTTACTTTCTTTTCTTTGAGTCGGAGTCTTATTCTGTCGCTTAGGCTAGAGTACCGTGGCATGCTCACATCTACTGCAACCTCTGCCTGCTGGACTCAGGCAATACTTCCACCTCAGTCTTCCAAGTAACTGGAATTACAGGTGTGCGCCACCACACTTGGCTAATTTTTTTGATCTATTGTAGAGATGAAGTCTCACCAAGTTCCCCAGGCTGGTCTCAAACCCCCGGGCTCAGGTGGTCCTCTTGCCTCTACCTCCCAAAGTTCTGGGATAACAGGTGTGAGCCACCGTGCCTGGCAATTTTTGCTTTTTTTTAGAGACTCTGTCACCTAGGCTTGAATGCAGTGGTGCAATCATACTTCACTGTAACCTTGATCTCCTGGGCTCAAGGGATCCTCTCACCTCAGCCTCCCAAGTAGCTAGTACTATAGGTGTGTGCCACCGTGTCCAGCTAAGTTTTAGAACTTTTTGTAGAGACAAAGGTCTCACTATGTTCCTGGCCTCAAGTGATCCTCCCGCCTTCCTTCCAAAACTCTGGGATTACAGACGTGAGCTACTATATCTCCGTAACTTTAATTTAATCCTACCAGGACAGAGAATGTTTTTTGAATGCTAGATGTAATACAGAACTCCCCATAGGATTGTCCTTATTTTTATGTCGGCTTACAAAAATGTTAGGCAGCTTTCTTAAGTTAAATTGGGAGAGAGAGTGTGAGGCTTAGTATCAAGAATCCTTGGCTTTCTTCCCAATTCTACCACTAATGAGCAGTGGTCCTGTTTTTCCTTGTCTATATGGGGCTGGTTGAAGCTCCTTAGTTGTCACAAAGTTGTTTTGAGGATAAAGTGAAATAATGGAAAACATATGGACATGATTCAAGTGTTATGAATGCAAAGCTTCACTGTAGTGGGAAGATCCTTTTTATATCAAAACCCCAGCATTCAAATTCTATTTTATAGCAGAATATATCCAAGTAACTTTAACTTGTAGTGCTATTTTGCTAATTTTCTCTTAGAAGATTCCTTAACTCCTATTAACTTGACTTACTTGTTCACGATACTTGGCATTACTTTGTTTTTGACCAGCCCCTTAATTTCATAATTTTTAAAGTTAGGAAAAGATTTGCCAACTTTTTTTTTTTAAATAAAAAGTTTAACTTACTTTATATTCCTTTATGGTATGTTAGTTATACATCCTTTTAATAACAGAATCATATATTAAGTGACTGTAAAAATAAATATTTCACTTTTGTGATGCTACTATTGTGAGTACTGCCAGCACAGTCTACAAATAAAAGATGTGTAGAAATAGGCATGATGGAGAATAACAAGGAATATACTTTCTTCAAAACTACATTATGAATATAGGATAGTATTTCTTTATTTTTGCCTGTGTGTGCTAGACACTCGATTACAAATGAAGCACAAAACTAGTATATTCTTTTCCTCTTTATTATTATGAGGTTTGGGAACAAGTGAACTGGGCAATGAGAGGAATAACATTATTTTTTCCATGTGTGTCCCCTGTACTCCGCCCCATCAAAGTATTTGGAGTCTGCTTGTCAATGACATTAAAAAAGAAATACAGAAATCTACTACTTTAGAGTGAGAATGTTAAAGAGATTTTAATATTAATAAAGAGACTAGCTGATATACTAGCCAAAATGACTTACTACGATTTAAACTTACTGTTGACTCTTGACCCAGTTTTTAGAGATATGACTTTTAAAAGTGAAATCAGGAAATTAAGATATTTGTTTATCTTGTTTTTTCCTGATTTCAAAAGCAATATGTGCTTGTTACAAAAAATTCCATAATTAGAGAAATATATAACACAGACAGTTAAAGTCTTGAGATCTGCTGGATGTGGTGGCATAAGCCTGTAATCCCAGCACTTTGGGAGGCTGAGTTGAGGGGATTGCCTGAGCCCAGGGGTTCTAGACCAGTCTGGGCAACATGGTGAGACCTTGTCTCTACCATAAATGAAAAAAAAATTAGCCAGGCTTGGTAGTGCGCGCCTGTGGTTCCGGCTACTTGGAAGGTTGAGGCAGAAGAATCGCCAGAGCCCAGCAGGTCGGTGCTGGGGTGGCCATGAGTGTGCCTCTGCACTCTAGCCTGGGCAACGGAGTGGGACTCTGACTCAAAATAAGAGAGTCTTGAGATTTATCTCCTAGAGATAACCACCTTTTTATAGTTTGGTGTATTCAGATACATAACTTAATAGTAAATATATCATTCTTTCTGGTTTAAAGTAATGACTGATATTTTGAAATTATCTGGCTCATACGCTTTCAAAGTAAATGTCTGACAATTTAGACTGTCCTGTTTAGATTTCATTTTTTGTCTTTAGGGAGATTATACGAAGAAAAGCTGTTCTGGCATTATACAAATTTCATCTCATTGCTCCTAATCAAGTACAACATATCCATATTAAGTTTCGGAAGGCACTTTGTGATAGAGATGTTGGGGTCATGGCTGCCTCCTTGCACATATACCTTAGGATGATTAAAGTAAGTTGGACTTTCAACAATTTTTATCATTAAAAAATATGGAATTAAAAGAAATCTCAGACATTTCAGTAAGATACTTAATTAACATTTTATGCTTTTATCATTGACTTTGTAATAGTAATTTTTGCAAATTATTGATAACATGATTTGTAGACACATTATAGAATTAGTCTTTTTTTTAATGGGTAAATTTTTTTTATCTTACTAAGGTGTGGAAAAATGGTAGCTATAGAAGGTGCCTTAAATTTACAGATTTGTGGTTTTTCAAGGGGTGGTTATCATTTGCACAGCTTCATGAGATGCATAACAGCTTACAGAATGGGGAGGGCTGGTAGGGGTTGTGTAAGGTAGACTGCAGTGTTGACTCCATATACTGATACTGTGTCAGATAAAACAAGGAGATGAATGGGTTGGTAAAAAACTTTTTTAAATGGTGATGATACATTTATACTAATTTGGTCTCAGTGTATTGCTTCAGACCTTTTGTCCTAAAGTACATATTTGTAAGAAATTTTATGAGCACCTACTAAAATAAAAGAAATATGGTATTGAATTCATTTAAAGTTATAGAGAACTGAAGCATATCTTCTCTTTTATGTATTGTGTTCTAAAATAGTATAATATAAATATTTAATATTAAATCTTATTTTTTCTCTGTCATCTACTAACACATGAAAGTTATTATTTCTTTTCTAAAAATTTGCCCTTGATTCATAAGAAAAATTACAATGAAGAAGCTAAGTTCATTTTAAGGTGTATATATTTAATTTTCCCACTTCAAGAGATTAGTCAGATAAGGCACATTCATTCAGAAATAAATATTTTGTTTATGTATTTATTTAGAATTGGGGTCTCAGTCTGTCACCTAGGTTGGAGTACAGTGGCACAATCATGGCTTACCACAGCCTCGGCATCCTGGGCTAAGGCAGTCCTTCTGCTTCAGCCTCCCAAGTAGTCTCAGCTTGTCATGTGCCACCATGTCTGGCTAATTTTTTGTAAAGACGAGGTCTTGCTATGTTCCCTAGACTGGAGAAGCAAATACTTTAAAATACTGTATGCTTAATTAATTTTTAATTGGCAGGCTCACTGATTTTGGGGACTTTGAATATTTAAGTAGTCTTGGCTGTACTCTTCTACCCAGCATGAATTTAAGTCATTTACATGAGAAGTCTTTTGGATACAGAGTTTAGACATTGCAAAAAGTCTTTGAATTTCTTCCGAAATAGAGGTATTACTGCCCATTTTCAGTAAGCCAGTTCCTTTCACTTTTTGCTTTAATTGCTGGTATTGGGTGTTAAGGATTCTATGTAAGAGATAATTATAAGAACTTTGGAAATGTGATTAAACTATGTGTGGGGAAAAATAAGGAGTGGTGGAAGGTTTTCTGGGGATGATTCAACTTTGCATCAGGTAGCCAGAAGAGTTTCGTCATGGAAGAAATCATACATTTTAAAGCACTGTTTCATTAAATGTGAACATAAACTTTTAAGTAAGCATGTATTAAGTTAGGCTGTATGTGACATTTCAAAAACCAGGTTTATTTATATTTGATTTGACATTATTATTTACAGAAATTTTTTTTCCTGGGGGGATATAGGAGAATTCTTCTGGATATAAAGACTTGACTGGGAGTTTTGTAACTATTTTGAAGCAAGTAGTTGGAGGAAAGCTTCCAGTAGATTTCAATTACCACAGTGTACCAGCACCATGGTTACAAATTCAGCTCTTGAGAATACTAGGACTTCTAGGAAAAGACGATCAAAGGTAAATTATTTTAGGTTTATTTAATGACTCCAGACCATATGATAGGCTTAAACTTTAGTCAACTCGAGGTTTTATGATAAACCAGATTCTTCTGATATTTAATTGACTTAATAGCAATGAATAAACCACTGTAAGAAGTACATAAATTCTTTCAGGTTGCTGGGATAATCATGAGTCTCTGCTTATCCAAATTTTACCCATTATGAAAGGTGCCTTTGAAGCACCATCTCCTCTGTGAAGTTTTCTTTATTGTTCTAGTTCAGGGATCTGGAAACTTTTTCTGAAAAGGGCCAGATAAATGGTTTATGCTTTATGGACCTTATGTTGTCTGTTGCATTTATTCAACTCTGCTGTTATAGTATGAAAATAGCCAGATAGTACATAAATGAATGAGCGTGGCTGTGTTCCAAAACACCTTTATTTGGACATTAAAACTTGAATTTCATATAATCTCCACATCATGAAATATTGTTCTTTTGATTTTTTTTTTCAACCATTTAAAAATGGAAAAATTCTCTTTAGTTTGAAGCCTTTCAAAAATGTGTCTGACTAGATTAGGCCTGTGAGCTATAGTTTGCCAATCCTTGCTTTAGTTTGATGTAAGTGTTTCACCTTCTTAATTCATCTCTCTGAATTATTCTTTTAGCCGATAACTTATATTAAACTTCTTATGGGTATCTTTCTAACTATATATATATTAACTTTTAATTGCGCCATACTTTTTCAAACTTGCAAACTTTTAAAGTTCTAAGACTAGTACAAGGAGCTCTCTTATACCGTCTACCTAGCGTCATCGATTTATTTGGATTTGTTGCTTTATCGTTCTCATTCTTTCTACCTGCCCCCCATGCATTTGTGCATTTGCAAGTGCACATGTTATTATTATTATTATTTGAGTCAGAGTCTCACTCTGTCGTCTAGGCTGGAGGGCAGTGGCGTGTTCACAGCTGCTGTCTGTAGCTTTGACCTGCTGGGCTCAGGTGATCCTTCTGCCTCAGCCTTCCAAGTAACTGGAACTGCAGGCATGTGCCACCATGCCTGGCTAATTGTTTTTTATTGTAGAAACAAGGTTTTGTCAAGTTTCCTAGGCTGGCATTGAACCCTTGGGCTTAATCAATCCTCTTGCCTCTGCTTCCCAAAGTACGGGGATTACAGACATGAGCCACCATGCCTGGTATATTATTTTTATTTTTAAAAGTTTTTCTGAACTGTTTGAGAGCAAGTTCAACTAGATTTTAGTTCCCTTGAGAGCAAGGAAATTGACTTGAGTTCCTGATATGCTTCTGTCTAGAGAAAATATTTGCTAATCAGTTTTCTGATTTTATGGATCTCATTCTTTTTATGTGATATGGTACCTTTGTATTCAAATTTTTTAGCCTCTATTTACAAAGGGATCATCCTCTAGGCTGTTGCTCCTAGAAATGCCTCCTTAATGTCACGTCAGAATCCATCTGCCTGTGAGCTCCTCCTAAACAGCACTATTTGGGCTGTATCACTCTTGGTATTACTGTGTTACTTTTTTCTGTGCTTATGACTCCACCCTTGGTTGAAACCTGGAGTGAAAACATAGAGGTGATGGAGTAGGAAGAACACACATTAGCAATGTTTGTCCTAATTACTTTTTATTTTATTATTTTTTATTTTATATAACATCAACCTGTCCTAACGTGGAACTCTAGCTGGAGTTCCCTGGAATTCTGTTTTAAAACCATCAATTTCATATTAATGCATCAGATTTCATTGATCTAAAAAGACTTAATGCCAGCCGGGCTTGGTGGCTCAGCCTGTAATCCCGCGCCTTTGGGAGGCTGAGGTGAGTGGATTGCCTGAGCCTGCGGGTTCGAGACCCGCCTGGGCAGCGAGACCTCATCTCTACAATAAATCAAAAAATCAGCCGGGCATGGTAGCGTGTGCCTGTAATTTCGGCTACTTGGAAGGCTGAGGTGGAAGGATCGCCGGAGCCCAGTAGGTCGAGGCTGCGGTGGCCAGGAGCGGCCACTGCACTCCAGTCTGGGCGACAGAGTGAGACTCCAACTCAAAAAAAAAAAAAAAAAAGGCTTATTGCCATCCATTGTTGTCAGGAAGTAACTTTGGAGGCATTTAGTGAATTTAATTATTCAATTCATTAACTCATTATCTTCTTTTCTTCTTTCCTTCATGGATGAATTTGGAGAATACATACCAAAATAAGTAAGTCAGTCCTTACCTTCTAAGAGCTCAGCTGAATAGTAATTAGGTGCGATTAAATTAATAAAAAAAGAGTGAAACTCTTTTATAATGTTGTAGAACTTTAGAATGTTTTCTCCTTTGTTGTACTAACTCTAATGGGATTTTCTATTAACATGAATCTTATATTTCATTAGGATGTGATTAGTTCAATGTATCAAAGTAAAAATGTTATTTTATAATAGTATTCTAAAGTATTTAATTGAAAGAACCAATTTACTGGTAAAGTCTGTTATATTATGGCCTTTTATATCTATTGTTTGAATAATATTTTCTTGCATTTTATAGCATTATGCTTTTTAGGCTATTAACATTTTTTTCCATCATGTCCACAAATGTTTCTACATTTCTTTGGTTAATTATGACTCTTGTGCCAAACATTGGCTTTTAAAATTGAGAAAGTAGACTATAATCTAGGTGTAATATTACTGAATTTTTTTGAGGGGGAAGGATTGGTAATGTCTGCTGTGTGGTTATCTTCTGTGGAAGAAATGCTTTCACAATAAAATGAGGGATTTTAGAATATAGTTCTGGATTTTTTGGATATTTATACTTCAGTCAAGATAGAATGAAAATACATGCACTTAAAATTGAATTTTTTAGCTATATACTTGAAAAAAGTAGAAATTTTCTGAGAGCTGTAGTAGCTATTACAACTAATTCATATAGTTCCAAATTATTTTGATATTTTTGTTTGTTTTATATGACAGTTTCTCTTAAAGATAATTTTGTGATTCCTATGTTTCTGGTATTTTCTTTTTTCATTAGTGCTTTTTGAATTTGTAAAACATACACAATACCAGCTGAGAAGCCAGTTTTTCACATTAGCATCTTGAAGAGGACTTTTCTTTTGGAGGCTTGAAGGCAGAGTACTAGGGCTTTGTAAACACCGCACTTTTTTTCCCACGGTACCTGACTCCATGCAGTTATTGTTACTGTAATCAGAGACCATAAAGACATATGAGTGGTATAAACCTATCAATCCTACAAAATATCTTTCTTTATATTTAATGTAAGTTAAACGTAAGTTAAAATAATCTTACCAAAGAAGTTACTGCTCAGGGAAAGACTAGTATTTGAATACTTTGGAAAAATTATCCAGTTAAGAATACAGATACGGCCAGGCACGGTGGCTCGTGCCTGTAATCCCAGCACTTTGGGAGACTGAGGTGAGAGGATTGCCTGAGCTCATGGGTTCAAGACCAGCCTGAGCAACTTGGCGAGACCTCATCTCTACAATAAATCAAAAAATTAGCTGGGCATGGTGGCACTCACCTGTAGTTCTAGCTACTTGGAAGGCTGAAGTGGAAGGATTGCCTGAGCCCAGCAGGTCAAGGCTGTGGTGGCCATGAGTGTGCCACTGCACTCCAGCCTGGGCTACAGAGTGAGACTCTGACTCAAAAAAAAAAAAAAAAAAAAAAAAGGTCTGGCAAGAATACAGATAATATATTGTCTGGAATAATCTGTATATGTGAGGTATTACTATAGTAACTTAAAAAAATATTTTGTTGCAAAGAAAATTACAAAATACAGTATGTTCAACCAAATAAAAACATGGCTTGTAAACCGGTCACAAGTGAGGAAAGAGTCAACTGACTTATACATATCTCATTGACTAGCTGTCTGGTCAGCTTTGGTAAAGCGCAAAGTTCAGCTCTGAAAAACAGCAAATGAAATCTTCTGAGAAGTGAAATTTGTGTAACTTCACCATAAAATGAATTTATCTCACTTCTCTTCTGTAGATCCTCAGTTTTAAAGAGAGAGAAGTTTGAAAAACTATGTTTTATTGGGTTAGAATTCTGTAATTCTACTGCAAATAAAATATCTTTTAAACAGGACCAGTGAATTAATGTATGATGTTCTTGATGAATCCTTACGAAGAGCTGAGTTAAATCACAATGTCACATATGGTAGGTAATATATGTAGATGTTACTCTAATGACTAATTTTTTTTTAGTATTGCAGCTAAATCTATGTTAGACTATTATAAAGTCCAATAAAATTTTAATGTACTAATTTTAGGGAAGTATTTTGGCTTATGATTTTTTTTTCAATGTAAGCATTTAATTGCTAATAGGTAGCAATAATTTGAAATTATGGCATGTTCTAAATGTTGACCTAAATTTATTATTATAATTGTTTCTGTTGAAAACGTTTATTAAGTGTCTGATTGACTACGAAGATAACTCAGTAGCTCTATTCTATATTTGGTAAAAGTTTATAGTATTTGAAGACAGTTCTAAAGTAAATCAGTCAACTAGTCGTCAAATATTTATTAAATTTCTGTTATCTGTCAGGCCCTGGGCAAGGTGCTTAAGAATACAGCGGTGAATAAAACAGTATTATGTTTTATTAGAGGAATGGAAAGGGACAGATGTTGTTAATGTTACAAAAGAAAATTACAAAGTGCTGTGGGAGAATATAGCAGCCAGTCTTAGGTTAGGGGGAGAACAAGGAAAGTTTTCCTGAGACAGTGATATTAAGAAGACATGTGAATAGGATGTAGATAGAAAATATATAGATGTAGAGTAATAAGTGCTATTTTGTGAGGAGACAATAAACTTGTGTATACAGTTTTTAAAAATTAGTCATGGAAGATAAGAGTAAGCTGGGAGAAGAGGAGAACTCGGAATGTAACTAAAAACATTTCCAGTTTTAACAACCAGATGGAGGAACTATTTTTTTTTAAATCGGTTTGAGAAAACTTCATGAAGAAATTGAGATTATTTAAGGCATTTCAAAGATAGAAGTAAAATAGATTGAATTTTGCATACTGTAGAGGAAAGAGCGATAACTCAAATGATAAATCATTTCTTAATTTGGTAAAATAGCACGAAGTAGGGAATGAAGAGCATTACTTGTTCTTCCAGGCAGTAGTAAACTGTAACTCTTTAAGAACAATGGTTTGTAGAAATGTGGGGTAGACCAGAAGGCAGAAATTGAACTAATACAACTGAAACAAAAAATGCCTGATAAAGATGCAGTATGAATAAGGAGAAAGGATTGCATGTGTGACACTAGTATGGAAAAAATAATGCACATAGTAGTGAATTGAGATAGTAAACTTTGAAGGAGAGATTTATGTTTTACATGTATAAATGGTAACTAAGGCAATAAGAGTGCTATATTCATTTGTTGAACCAGTATTTATCGAGGGTCTATGAAATAAAAACTTAATTTTGTTTTAAACTAGGTACTGATTGAGGAAAGAGTTGATTTGTATATTCCTCCATGCTAAGCGTGGGAGTTAAAAGGAAGAATAAGATAGACACAGGCCCTGTCCTTATGAGTATATAGTTTAATAAGCAGTTGATATTATCTAGGTTCATACTCTGCAGTGAGAAAAAGGGGCCACAGATGAGGATGATGCTTTTGAAGCAGGTGGTTTGGCTTTGAGCTGTCAGAAGATCCAGAAAAGTGTCAGAATTTTTCCAGACAGTTAAAGTATGTTAACATGTTTTGTTTGTGGTGTAATCATGTCTAGGATAAGGATTTGAAAGTCTCTCGAGAAATTCTGTTTAAAAATAGGTTAAGAATCTGCTTTTTTTTCTTTGCAGAAAGTTTTTCTTTTTTTAAATAATTGACATTTCAGCTTTAATTTTTTTATTTTTTTGAATAGGTAATATTTGCACATGATTCAAAATTCAAAAGGTACAAAAGGGTATACAATGAACAGTAAGTCTCCTTTCCACCCTTATCACCCACCACCTAGTTCCCTTTCCTGGAGATAACCACTGTTATCTGTTCCTTTTGATTTAGAGAATACCATATACCTGAAGAAATGTTTTTTAATGTTTTCCATTAGGATTCTTCTTTTATTAAGATTGCTTGAACCAACACCAACAGTTTGTTTCTTTGCAGGCTGTTGATCCAGTGTTGTACCTGCCACAGAAACATTATGGTTTCTGTTGTTTTATTTCCTTTGTTTAGCTTTTCACTGTTATGCTTTCCCACCATATTTGTATTAATACAGTTTATAGCTTATATCAGTGGTAGATCCTCTAGTAATCCTAATATAAATATTTTATTGCCTAAAAATGTGAATTTTAATTATAAGCTTCATAAGGACAGGGACTGTGTCTCTCTTATTAACCAGCACATTCCAGTAGCTGGCACTGTGTTAACCAATTAATTGAATTGAAGAGAAAATTATTTTACTTTATCAGTTATCTAAGTGGGTTTCAGTCTTAATGCTTTCTAAGTCATATTTTTTGTGAAAAATGTTATTATTATAACTTAGTGTCAAATCAAGAAATAAATTACATTAGAGACATTTACTGAGGATTTGCTGTGTGCCAGTCATTGTGTAAAGTGGGTTAGAGGATATGAAGAAGAATAAGATGTAAACTTTGTCTTCAAGGAATTTGCATTCCAATGGAAAAGATAACTTATTCATGATAGCATAATACTGGCATAAGGCAGAATGTGAAGGGGTAGTTCAGAGAATAAATATCATAGGAGTTCAGAGAGGGTAGAGATTGGGGCTTGAGGGATAAGGAATTTATTTTATTTTTTGAGTTGGAATCACACTCTGTTGCCCAGGCTGGAGTGCAGTGGCATGTTCACGGCCACCGCAGTCTGGACTCAGGGGATGCTTCCGCCTCAGCCTTCCAAGTAGCTGGAACTACAGGCTTGCACCATGATGCCCAGCTGGTTTTTTGATTTATTATAGGGATGAGGTCTTGCCAAGTTGCCCAGGCTGGTCTCGAACCCCTGAGCTCAGGCAGTTCTCTCTTCTCTGCTTCCTGAAGTCCTGGGATTATAGGCATGAGCCTCTGCGCCCAGCTGGGATAAGGACTTATTGATGTGATAGGACCCAAAATAGGTAGGATTCAGAAAGGCAGAAGGGAGGTTGAAGGGACTTTTAGGCAGAGGGAACATGAAAAGGTACAGTAGTAGGGATGTTTAAAATATTTTCAGAGAACAGTGTCTCACCAGTCTGGATGGTTCGTGGTGGGGAGCAGTGGAAAGGCTATATTGTGGAGTGCCTCTCGTGGGCCTCCAAATGAGTTTGGATGTTATACTGTGTAAATCTGGAGGTATGGAAAATTTTTGGATAGGATACTGATAAAATAAGGATGATATTTTTTTGGCAAATTAGTAAATTGGAGGAATTACATAAAATGGAGTACAGGGACAAAACCTTCAAAAGCAGGTAGAAGTACTTGTCCATGTTTTTTCCACTAACTTTACCTAGAATCTGTGGATACTACATATTAGAAACATAAGACTCAGGAAGGTGGAGAAAATAGGCTGGGTAGGGACCTTGGTAGTCAAGGAGTGACACAGACATGATGGTGAGTACACTGACTTTTCTTTCTTTTTTTTTGCCACATTTGTCCTCAGATTGGGTACTGGAGAGCCAGCGATCTGGAAATGCCAGTAGACACAGACAAATACCCCAAGAAAAGCTTAATCTTGTTTGTCAAAGGACCAAGAAGAAAAGGTCAAACTAGCCAGACAAAATTTTTAGACAATAACACCTCTATTCTGTCCAAGCACCACACAGAAAAAACAGCAGACTCACTCCCACCAGCACAGACTGAGTAGAAAACAAATATTAAATATTTCCATCCTCATGAGGTGTAACAGGCACTCTAAACCCTCCCTCCCCACTAGGGTGGTAGCAGAGAAGCAACCAGAATTTCATTGCTGCCAGGTGAACAGGTAGTCCCTGTCTCCACTACTGTGTCAGTGGAGGTGATGTGGGAAGTCTGGATTTCACATCTATCTTGGAGTAGGTAGTAATGAGATACCCCTCCCCTCTTTGCTAGGGGTAGTGTTAGAGGAAGCCTAGTGGAGAGTCAGAACTTTCACCACTAATTAGCAATAACGCGCACACACCTTTCCTTCAGCAATAACCAGGAGTCCCTCCATTCCCAAATATCAAAGGCAGAGTTGAGGACCTGGATTTCCACTCCCCTTGGTTGATACTACCTCTCCCTCCTGCTAGAGGTGTCAGTAGATACTTGTTTAACTTAATTTAAATGAAAATAAAGTTTCGTCTGAAGTATAAGGTATCAGAAGAACTTAAAGTTTTGTTTGTACATAATTCAACCCAAAATATCTGTGATAAAACTACAGTGTCATGAATGTTGGAACATTATTAATTTTTAATTTAATAATTTTTCCTTGGTATTTTATTAGGACCTGGGTTGTTACTAAGTAGTAACCAAAGTTCCATGTTGTGTTTTTAAGTTTAAAACTCCTTAGGTGCATTGTTACTTTGACCACTACAGAGAGGAGAACAGAATGGCTGCTCTTTCAATTATAAACTGATACTGAGATTTTGGTGAAGTTAGAAAACAAGACTGGGTTCAGTGGCTTATGCCTACAGTCCCAGCACTTTGGGAGGCCAAGGTGAGAGGATTGCCTGAGCCCATGGATTTGAGACCAGCCTGGGCAACTTGGCGAGACCCCATCTCTACAATAAATCAAAAAATTAGCCAGGCGTGGTGGCGCGTGTCTGTAGCTCCAGCTACTTGGAAGGCTGAGGTGGAAGGATGACCTAAACCCAGCAGGTTGAGGCTGTGGTGGCCATGAGCGTGCCATTGCACTCCAGCCTGAGCGACAGAGTGAGACTCTGACTCAAAAAAAGAAAAGAAAAGAAAAGAAACAAAGGGACTTAGCTCTAAGTGGGAAGATAATTTAAAAATTCATTTTCTGCTTGATTGTGCCTAAGGAGATTAATAATAAGTATACTTTTTGAACTATTTTCCTATTCTAGTATTTCAGAAATCTTATGAGCATCTAAATATAAGTTTTAATTTTAGATAGGTAATGACTAGGTTTTGGTTGATAATATAATTTGATAACAGGTAAGTTCTGAATGGCAGGAAACATTAAAGAAAAATATGCCAGTCATGGCTGAAAATGGAATGTCATAAGTTTTAATCTTACTTAGGACTGCCATGGTAGTTCAGGGTCTGGCAGACTTTCTCAAAAGGGGGCTAGATAGTAAATGTTTTAGGTTTTACAGGTCATGGAGGTTTCTGTTGCATAGTCTTTTTTTTTTCTTAACAATCTTTAAAAAATGTAAAAAACATTCTTAGTTCACAGACTTATACAAATAGACTAAAGCCTGGATTTAATGGTAGTTTTTCTGTTCCTGCCTTATTTGATATGTCAGTTGGCCAAGATGCTTTTGTTTAGTTCATAAATCACAATATCAGCTTTTTTTTTCACAGCACAGATGTTATAGCACAACATCTGAATATATGGGATATCTTTAGGTTCAACTAACTTAGTAGTTTTTTTCCTTTAATTAGGGTCAGTTCTGTTTTTAAAGAAAAAATTAATATTTCAGATTTCTTTTTTCTTTTATGGAAGAGGTTTATATAAACCTTTTTACATAAAATTTATCTATACATTAATTGATGGGAAACATACCGTAAAAACATAGCTAGTTGAATATTCAGCATATATCTTTTTCTTTTTTTTTTTTTTTTTTTGAGTTGGAGTCTCACTCTGTCGCCCAGACTGGAGTGCAGTGGCCGCTCCCGGCCACCGCAGCCTCGACCTGCTGGGCTCCGGCGATCCTTCCGCCTCAGCCTTCCGAGTAGCCGGAATTACAGGCACGCGCTACCACACCTGGCTGATTTTTTGATTTATTGTAGAGATGAGGTCTCGCTGCCCAGGCGGGTCTCGGACCCGCGGGCTCAGGCAATCCACTCACCTCAGCCTCCCAAAGGCGCGGGATTACAGGCTGAGCCACCGAGCCCGGCTAGCATATATCTTTTACATAAAGAAAGTAAGCATCTTGTTTAAGCTTTTGGAAATACAGGAGGAATGATGTTATCAAGAACACTTACTATGCTTAACCTTGTAGAATGTTTTTTAAGTGCTGTTTTTGTACCTTCTCTGTGTCTTTCTTCTGATACTGTGATTTCATAAGACAGTGGTACCCAGCCTTTTTGGCATCAGGACCCAGTTTTGTGGGAGACAATTTTTCTATGGGTAGGGGGACAGGGCAGGGAGAAGTATAGTTTCTGTATCTGAGATAGGTGATTATGCCCCAGTTGGAAGAAAGAAGGCCCTGGTTCAGACTCTAAAAATCCTTGCTAATGTTTGAAATGTCAAAAATCCCAATGTCCATTTGTCGCCCCCATAATTCCAGTTTGGCTTTGAATGTAACCACTTTATCTGCCAATTTGAACATGGTTGTTGTTCTCTCCTGAAGTGACAGATTGAATTTATTGAGCAGGTTGAATATGTCACATAAGTAAGCAATTTTTGCTACCCATTCTGTGTCTCTAAAATAACCAGTAGTGACTGTTTTTCTAAAAGAAATCTTTACAGCAGCTCTAATAACTCAAAGCCTCTGGCCAGTGATCTACCTTTAGCAAACCATCTCAGTTCTGTGTATGAGAGAAGATATGTATACTTTGCATCTAACTCCTCAAAGAGCTGCACGAATAGATGTGAGTTAAGGGCATGTACTTTGATGTGGCTGATAATTTTAACTACATTCTGCAAAATGTTAAGTTTAGGTGACATTTTTCAGCTAGCCAGCATTTCTCTGTGGATGACACAGTGCATACACTCACATCAGAAGCGGCCTCTTTGACCCAAGTAGTGAACCCAGAAGGCCGCCCAGTCATGGCAGCTACTTCATCCAAGCCTATACTAACACAGAAGACCAGTTCAGTTTTCCTGATATGTAATCATTCAAAGACTTGAATAGTTCTACACCTGTGGTATTGGTTGGCAACAAAGGTACTCGTAACATATCCTCATGCATGTCCTCCTAAAGAATATATCACACAAAAGCAAGCATTGTTGTCTTGTCAATATCAGTAGACTTGTCAGCTTGGACCTGAATTGCATACCATGACTCATTAATCCTCTCTAACGACTGTGCCTTGGTATCCTCTGCTATTTCATCAGTTCAGTCTAGTCATGGTGCTAACTGAAAGAGGAACATGTGCCACCTTTTGAACTGCGGTCTTTCCCAAAAGTTCATGACAAATGTCCTTAACAGCAGGCAGGATCAACTCTTCAGTAATAGTAAAGGGCTTCTTAGCTTTAGCAATGTGGTTAGCCACTAAGAATAATGCTTTCAGTGCAGACACATTTGATGAAGCGATGGCCTTCAATAATTGCTTCTGTTCTTTGTGTTCACATTTTTGCAAGGTGCATGGTCTTCATGTGGCAAAGCAGTTTTGGAGTTTAATGGCTTTGTTGGCTAGCCGGTTGTCACATATTATAAAGCAGGCTTTAAGAATGTGAATCACCTGTTGCAGTGAACCTGTAATTTGAGTAGGACTCTTGGTATTTTCTTTCATATGCAACTTTCTTTTTGTTGACAGTCTTGTTTTTGTTTTTGTTTTTGTTTTTTGAGTTGGAGTCTCACTCTGTCGCCCAGACTGGAGTGCAGTGGCCGCTCCCA